CCCCGGCCCGGCCGGCCCGCCCCCACTGCGGTGCCGCAGCCTGCGCCGCGCACCCGGCTCGGAGGGGGCGGGGGAGCATCGGGCATGCGCTCTGCGGCGGCCTCTGGCCTCTTAAACCACTGCGGAGAACCGAGGAGGGGGGCGGGGCAGAGAGGGCCAAGTTTGACCCCAGCCCACCTCAAGGTCCCGGGCCCTTCTGCGGCACCCTCTGGCTTGCCTCTCTGCTCTGCACTTCAGATTAAAGTTAAGCCCTCCCAATCCCGGACCCCGCCCCCTCAGCCCTGTGGAGGAAGGGGAGTTGCTGAGGGACCCTGCTGCTCTCCAGTCCACCCCAAAGTCTAGGGTCCTCTCTTCAGTCTGACCCTGAGCCCCCTTTTCTTCTTGAGTCCTTGATTAAAAGTCAAGCGACCCAGACCCTCCTCCTCTGCGCATCTGACTAAAGCCCTCTCTTTGCCCTAACACCCATCCCCTTCTCTCTCCAAGGTACTAACCTCACTCTTCTCTCTGCGTGTTTCATAAAGGCCACAGTCATCTCCAGGGGCCCGCTCCGTCCTCTTCCTTCTCTAAGATCTTGCCTGCACCCCTTCGGCTCCTCAAGGTTTTCTTCAAAATCCACACCAATGCGTGCAGGACTCGAGTCCTCCCCATCTTGAAATGACCCATGTGCCCCCCACCCCTGGACTTCTGGCTAAAGCCTCATCACCTTTCTGGCCCTACCTCCACCATCTCCCATCTGCCCCCCACGTTCAGGCCCCTGACCCGCCCTTTCTCTCCAGAGCCTTAAACTCCAACCCTCCTTGCCTCTGTCCTTTTCTCTTTTTGCACACTTGACCCTTCACTTCTTCCCCCATTTATGGCCCTAACACCCCTCGGTGGTTCCATCCCTTTGCTGTCCTCTCTGGACACCCAGCTTTCTCCCTTCTCTGGGTCCCGGGCATTGTGACCAAGGTCCTTAAACCCTGGCTTCTCTCTGAGGCATCGACCTTGCCCCCCACTAACTGATGCCTCCATACCCTAGCAGGAGCTCAGCTTTTCTTACTGAGTTCCAGGTACTGGGCCAAGCACTGTTTCTGGAGCCAGGACTTTTGTATACTCATCTAATGTAATCCTCAATAATCCTGTGAAAAACCTGAGGTGCAGAAAGCTTAATCTCCTTGCCCAAATTAGGCCATGGAAACGCTGGCTCCAAATGCAGGCTTTCATAACTTTCGTAACTGTTTTGGGATTCTGCCTCCCTGCCCGCTTTCTCCACTTCCCCTTCCCTTGGCTCCAAGCTGAGCTCCAAAGCCTCTGCTACCCCGAGGGTGAGTGATCTTAGTCTCCCCGCCACTCCCCTCCCATCGCAGAATCCTTGGACCCTGCTGGGGAGTCCTGAGATGGGACACCGGCTGTGGGGAAGTGGTCTGGGAGACAGAGTAAAGGACCAGAAATGGCCGTTTCCGTGAGAACAGCTGGTTGCCCGTCTGCCACCACTGCTGGGGCCAGCTCCTATCCCAAGCCGGGGAGAGCTGCCTCTGATCCTTTTCCAGCTTTACAGGGAAGAGCAGGACACAGGCTGTGATGGAGGCGTGGGGTGGGGACTCCTGGATTTCCCCGGAGGTGGGGGCTGGGGAGGGGCGGCCACTGGGAGGGTCTCCTAGAGGTGGCTGGCTGACCAGATGCCTGGGTCACCTTTTGCCCTCTCTCTCCTGCCCTGCCTCACAGTATGTGGCCTTCGCCTCCCTCTTCTTCATTCTCATCTCCATAACCACCTTCTGCCTGGAGACCCACGAAGGCTTCATCCACATCAGCAACAAGACGGTGACGCAGGCCTCCCCCATCCCGGGGGCTCCACCGGAGAACATCACCAACGTGGAGGTGGAGACGGAGCCCTTCCTGACGTACGTGGAGGGCGTGTGCGTGGTCTGGTTCACCTTCGAGTTCCTCATGCGCATCACCTTCTGCCCGGACAAGGTGGAATTCCTCAAGAGCAGCCTCAACATCATCGACTGCGTGGCCATCTTGCCCTTCTATCTCGAGGTGGGCCTCTCGGGCCTCAGCTCCAAGGCTGCCAAAGACGTGCTGGGCTTCCTGCGGGTCGTCCGCTTCGTCCGAATCCTGCGCATCTTCAAGCTCACGCGCCATTTTGTGGGGCTGCGCGTGCTGGGCCACACGCTCCGCGCCAGCACCAACGAGTTCCTGCTGCTCATCATCTTCCTGGCGCTGGGCGTGCTCATCTTCGCCACCATGATCTACTACGCGGAGCGCATCGGCGCCGACCCCGACGACATCCTGGGCTCCAACCACACCTACTTCAAGAACATCCCCATCGGCTTCTGGTGGGCCGTGGTCACCATGACGACCCTGGGCTACGGAGACATGTATCCCAAGACGTGGTCGGGGATGCTGGTCGGGGCACTGTGTGCCCTGGCGGGGGTGCTCACCATCGCCATGCCCGTGCCCGTCATCGTCAACAACTTTGGCATGTACTATTCGCTGGCCATGGCCAAACAGAAGCTGCCCAAGAAGAAGAACAAACACATCCCCCGGCCCCCGCAGCCCGGCTCCCCCAACTACTGCAAGCCCGACCCCCCTCCCCCGCCGCCCCCGCACCACCCCCACCACGGCAGCGGCGGTATCAGTCCTCCGCCACCCATCACCCCGCCCTCCGTGGGGGTGACTGTGGCCGGGGCCTACCCAGCGGGCCCCCACACTCACCCCGGGCTGCTCAGGGGAGGCGCGGGGGGGCTCGGGATCATGGGGCTGCCTCCTCTGCCGGCCCCCGGGGAGCCTTGCCCGTTGGCTCAGGAGGAAGTAATTGAGATCAACCGCGCAGGTGAGCAGGGGTGCATGAGGGGCAGACGGGGGTGGGGGGAGGAGGCCACTGCTTCGGTTAAGAGACGGGCGGTCACTACAGAGGGGAGAGAGAAAAGCGAACAGCTACTGCTGAGGTCAACAAAGAGGCACGGAAACAGACGGATTCTGTGTGAAAGAGACAGTCTGGGGGAGAGCCAGACTCGCGGCCAGGACATTCGGGGGGACCAGGGAGGCAGAGAGATCGGCCTACCGGGAGGGGGGACTCGGGCACAGGCACAGAGACGGTCTAACATGTGAATCACCAGCCGACCGGAGAACGGCGTCTGAGTCTTCCGGTGGTGATGCGGAGAAAAGAGCCCGAAAGCGACAGAAAGCAAGCAGTTGTCCCCGAGAGCAGGAGAGACAGAGAGAGAGAGGACAGAGGCGGAGGGCCAGTGGTAGAGAGCTCAGGTTCTAATGACAGCGAGGCCAAGAGAGGAGACAAGACTCAAAGACCAAGAAGTAGGTAGAGGCCAGGAAGACAGGCCCAGAGGGCAGGCCGGCCGTGTGACAGTGACTCGGGACCCAGGGCCCTTGGCTCCGGCTCAGTCCGAGAGACGCACAAGAGAGGCCAAATGAAGAGGTGAAGGGAAGGAGATGAGGGAGAAGAAAGTTGACCCGGTATGTCCCTCCCCCTAGGGGAGTCTGTGTCTCTGAAGGTTGGGGGCCAAGGTCCTGTGGTCCTGAGCAGGGAGAAGCCGGTGGGCCCCACCCCCATGACTTAAGTAGGTCAAGAAAGGGAGCTGGGCCGCCCGGCCCTCATCTGGCTCCCTCGGCCGCTGACCCAGTTTCACACCAATTAAAAATAGCTCAAGTCAGAGCCTGGGGGACCCCCACCTCCCGCCCTCCCTCCTCTGTCACCTTCCCAACCCTTCCCCGCTGTGCCCTTCCCAGCACCCAACACCCTCCCTAAACAGCTACCTCCCAGCCCCCTGAGGCCCCCCAGCCGTCCCTCCAAACCTACCCCAACCCATCTACCCGACCAACCCAACACCGCACCCCAGTCCCGCCCTACTCGGTTCACTTCAGCCGACCGCCCACCCGGCACTCTACCCCAGCCTCCTTCCAGGCACCCAGCTCGCTTCCCAACCACCCTCCAGATGCCCAGCACCCCACCCAGTCCTGCCCTTCCCAGCACCCAACACCTGGCCCGAGCAACACCTCCCGCCACACAGCACCCTCCATCCACACCAACTCCTGACCGCCCTTCCGCATCCCTGCTGTCCTTCCCGGCACTCAACACCTCCCCCCACCCAGTGACCTGTCCCCTAAACCTACCAGCCACACACGCCAGCACCCAGCTTCCGGCCTGCCCCTCCTGTCCCTTCCTTGAGACACCCTGCCCCTCAGTCGTCTACTTCCAGCACCCTCCTTGCTAATGGCACCCCCACCCTGAGTTCCTGCACCTCACTCTCTCCTTTGTGTCTCTGTCCCTCCGGCGCAGATCCCCGCCCCAATGGGGACCCTGCAGCAGCTGCGCTTGCCCACGAGGACTGCCCAGCCATCGACCAGCCCGCCATGTCCCCGGAAGACAAGAGCCCCATCACCCCTGGCAGCCGTGGCCGCTATAGCCGGGACCGAGCCTGCTTCCTCCTCACCGACTACGCTCCTTCCCCTGATGGCTCCATCCGGAAAGGTGAGGTGCCCTCCACTGGCCCCCTGGAGCCCTCCCTCTCTCTCTCTCTCTCTCTCTCTCCCTCCCTCAGGGGAGGGAGGGAGATGGGGGAGGAGGTGCTGGGCTTCCCTTCCCCCATCCCCTGGCCCCAAATTCCCTTCCTCCCAGATCCCCCGCCCCCCAAGTTTCCTCACCACTGACCCTTCACCTGTCTTTATTCCATCTCCATTTCCCCCCACCCCACCCCGGACCCTCTGGCCTCTTCCCCCACCCCCAGCCACCGGTGCTCCCCCACTGCCCCCCCCAGACTGGCGTAAGCCAGGCCCCCCAAGCTTCTTGCCCGACCTCAACGCCAACGCCGCGGCCTGGATATCCCCCTAGCGGACGAACCCCTTCCCCCCGGGGTAAGTAGCCCCCACCCTTTGATCCCCACCTTCTTCCTGACTAACCCCTCTGAGAACATGCATCCCCCACTGACCGAGACTCCTGTCCCCTCACTGTGAACAGCTCCATCCAATTAACCAGCAGCCACGACACTGACCCCACACCCACCCGCCCAGGACTTGCCCTGCCCCTCACTAACCCCCCAGAACTAACCCGACCCTCCCCACCGTGTGCCTGACCTCCCTCCCCTGCCCTCACGACTGACCCCCATCCTCACCCCCATTCACATCTCTCCCCCTGCCTCCCCACCCCGGGTTTTTTGTTCAACTGAGAAAATGGGGTACATACCCAGGACACTTTGGGGTGCAAGATGGGATGGGGAAGACTCAGCCGCTTGGCCAGCGCTTACCAAGGACCTGTGTGGCACCTGGGTGTCACCTGCGTGGTGCTAGGCACAGGGAATCAACAGGGTAGAACCCCCCCCCCCCCCCCCCCCACCACCACACGGCCCAAGGAGCTCCCAGTTTGCTGGGAGAGTCAGACACTGACCTAGAAAGCCACTATTTGGGGTGATATATGCACAAGGGGAGGTACCACAGGGACATGCAGTAAGAGGAACTCGCACGCTCCCCAGGACAGGATGAAAGTAACGGGGAAGGCTTCCCGAAGGAACTGAGGTCTGGAGGTGTCCTGACCTCAAGTGCAGAAGTGATCCCAAGGGACATAGTGACCACAGGGACTGGGCCAAACAGAGCGGAGGAGACTGGGGACTGGCAGGTAGACGTGAGGTAGGAAAGCAGGCCTGGGCTGAACCTTGTTTAGGGACCTTGTTTAGGGACCCGGGGGGTGGGGAGGGCAGGTCAGCGCCTGGGCTGTGTGGGGCATGGACAGAAGACTGGAGGTCAGGAGGCCCGGGGAGCAGGCTGGGATGAGGGTCCGAGGGGATGCAGAGGAAGGGATAAGGCAGAGGGAGTTAGGGATCAGGGACAGACCGGGAGGGACAGGGCTGGGAACTGGCACTGGCGAGACAGAGAGTAGCTGAGTAATTCAACAAACATAACCAAGCACTTATCACACGCCAGGAATTTAACAGGATTCTGTAATCTTCACTGCACCCCTAGCTAACACACAGCTCGCTTCCTTCCTCCCTCCCTTCCTCCCTTCGGCAACTAATCACTGAGGGCACAGTTCCAGGCACTGGAACTTTGGCGATTCACAAAGCATGACTCTGCCATCACAGTTGACACTCTAGAGCACGGATTGGCACGCTACGGCCCCTGGGCCAAACCTGCCAGCAGGCTGTTTTGTAAATAAAGCTCTACTGGAGCACAGCCACTGTCATGCTACAACAGTAGAGTGGAATAGTTGTCACGGAGAACGTGTGGCCCGCAGAGCTGAACATATGTAGCGATTGGCCCTTTACAGGAAAAGCTTGCCACCCCCTGATCAGAGGAAGCAGAAAAGCAACCCAACAAATGGACAAAAGGACATGATGATTACTCTGGCCACTTCAGATAAGGGGGTCTGCAAAGGCCTTTTTGAGGTGACGTGAACCCTGAAAGGTAAAAAGGGCCAGCCGGCGGAACAGCAGGTGCAAGGGTCCTGCGGTCCTGAGGTGGGATGAGCTTGATTTGTTAAAGGTGTAGCAAGGAGGGAGGTGTGGCTGGAACTGAGCAGCTCAGGGGAGAGGGGTGCCAGACAGAGCCTGGGGTGGGGGTGGGGGGAAGGATCATGAGAGGTTTTTGTGGCCATGGCTAGAGGCTGGATTTGACCTTAAAGGTGACAGGGAGCTACCCGAAGGAATTTGATCTATCACTTATTCCTTCAACAAACTTCTGTGGAATCTTCTTTAGAAATACACAGACACATCCTTAAAGAATCGAATCGCTACCTGCAGCTTAGGGAGGTGCTGTAGTGGGACGTGGGGCCTCCAGGGACAGCCTTGGTTCACGGAAGTTGGGGGGGTGGGGCATGAGCAGACAGGAATGAGACCCCAGGCCTCTGGGCTCCGAGTCCAGAAGGGACAGTGGCCCTTCTCGTTCCACCCCCTAACTCCCCAATTCACCCTCCATTTTCATCTCATTATCCCCCCCCCTTCCCTGCTCCCACCTCACCCACCCCTCCCCCTGCTTGCGCCCAGGCCCTTTCCACCCTGTTTCCCACCACGAGGTCTGGATGGGCCCCCACGGAATTGAGGGAGGGGGGAGGATTTGGAAATGGGAGGGAGGGAGGGAGGGAGGTGTGGGGGCTGGGTGGGTTGGGGGAGGGGTCTCTGCTTCTCTTGCCTCTGATGCCAAAATCCATTCATTGAACTCAAATGATGGCCGGAGCTGATGGGGCTGACTGAACTCTCTGCCCCAACGACCTGGATCCCTCCCCACTCCTGCATTTCCAAGCTCCTTCCTCTCTCTCCATCCTTCCTGGGTGACCCACCGTCCCCTGTTGTCCCCCTCTTTTTCTCCCAGGACCCCCCCCAATCCCCTACCTGTCCCACGACCCTACCCTTGTCCATCTTCCCGAATCACCTGAGCCCAACACCTAACACCTGTTTCCCCTTCCTCCCCAGCCCTCCCCCTCTTCCCTCCCCCCAGTCACCCCGGAAGCTCCTTCCATATTTGATGTCTTTGGCCGCCCCCATTTCACTGCTCCCCTCCCCCGGAAAACACCAGAGAGGAGGAAGAGATTCCGGCGTTTCTCCGTCCCCCCAACAGTGAGGCTGTGTTGGGGGGTTCCGCCTGACCACCCTCCCCCCGCCGTGACTCTGTGTATTTCTGTCCCCAGCTCTTGTCACCGCCTGAGACCTCGCGAGACCCTCGGTCCCCCCCTGCCCCTTCCCCCCAGGTTAGCAATTGGGAATGGCTGGGAGGGGGTGTTCCCAAGATACTGGGCTCCCAACCCCTGCCCCCCAGGCCCTCTGTCCTCTGGTCAAGACCCCCTGGCCCAGACAGACCCCTTGGCACTGACTGGGAACGCACTAGAACTTCCCCCAGACACCGGCAGTACTCTGAGATCCTCCAGAGCTTTCCAGAAACCACACACACACACACACACACACTCACTCACACACTCCCCGGTCTTAGACCCTTTTGGCTCTCAGGCCTCTGTTAGACCTTCCCATCAGAAGGTTCCACGACCCTTTAAAGATACCTCATCACAACCTTCAGGTGAGCCTTGCCTCTCTCAGGTCCGCCCCCCCACGGGGGGGGGCACTGCCAGTTCACGCCCCTTTCTGCCTCTCACAGCCCCACCCACCTGCCTTTCCTCCTTTCTCCACCGCTAGGTCAGCCCCCACCGGAGCCCTCCCGAGCCCTCCCCACCGGCTGCTCCCCCCACATGCATTCCACCGAGCTCCCTCCCCATGCCCGTGCTGCCCACCATCCGCCTTGCTGCCCCCCCCCCAACCCTTTTGCCTCAGATAAGGGGGCCAACGGGGGTAGGGAGAGGGGAGGTGGGAGGGGCGGGCTGCGGTGGGGATGGGGTGGGGGAGGCTCGGTGGGCACCACCCTGCCTCCTAACCCTGAGTCTCTCCCCCCTCCCCATGTCTGAACCTTTCTCCTTGATTCCGACTGACTGTCCGATTTGTTCACTTTTCTCTCTCCATCTCCTTGGTCCGCCTCTGTCCATCTCTCTGCCTCTTGCCATCTGTTTTGTTATGTCTTGGTGTCTGACTGTCTGTCTCTTATCCCTTCTGTCTCCCTCGCCGTCTCTATCCCGGACTCTGTGCTTCCATCCTTTTTCTGTCTCCTTGCCTCTTCCCGTCCCTCTCTCTCTTTCTCCGGCTCCTATCCTTTCTGGCCGTTCCTCCCCCTGCTTCCCTGGCTCGGGGTCTGTCTGTTGGACCCTCCCCCTGCACCCCCACCTCCATGCTTCCTCCCCATGTTTCTGCCCCTCCCCCCAGGTTACGAGAAATCCCGCAGCCTGAGCAGCATCGCGGGCCTGAGCGGGGTGTCCCTGCGCCTCGCGCCCCTTGCCACTCCCCCTGGCTCTCCCAGGGCCGCCCGCCGCGCTCCCCCAACCCTGCCCTCCATCCTCTAACGCTCCCCTCCCCCCCGTGGGGGGACTGGGGGTGACAGGGAAGAAGGTCAAAGGAGCTGGGGGTGGGGGGTGGGGGAAAGGGTTTTTTTTTAAAAATCAAAAAGTCATTAATAATATGCAACCGAGACGACGACGCCAGCAGACCCCCGCGGCCCCCCCCCCCCCCCGGGGGCCCCCGGGGGGGGGGGGGGAGGCCAAACTCCCCCCCCCCCCCCACCTCTCCCCCCTCCTCTCCCCCCAATAAAGCCTTCTCAGGTCTCCATGAGCCATAGGACATCCCGCTCCCATAAACTCCTGTAAATACGTCCAAATTATGCCAGTTACATTTTGGGGCGCCTCTCCGCTAGTCTGCATGCCTCCCTCAACCCGGATCCCTCCTCCCCCTTCCAGCTCCACCTCAGCAATAAGCCGCCAGGGGCTGCATGCCACGCGATTGAGGGAAGGGGAAGTCTGGGAAGGGGGCGGGGCCTCAAGGGGGTCCGGCCGGCTTTGCAGCCGCGGGAGGGTCTCCTAGCCTCCCGCCGTTCGCCCCAGGAGGACAGCCCATCACATTGATGTAAAGAGTAATACAGTAGCAACAATGTGAGGGAAGGAGGAACAGCCACCCAGGCCCCCAAACGAGCTGAGCTCAGAGGGCGAAAGCAGAGACCTGGGGAGTGGCCTGTGGACAGCTTCTCCCTCAGCCTTTAGGAAGATCCCTCTGGTGAACGTGACCCTTTCGTCCGTCTCCATCCCCGCCACGGGGTCTGCTCGCCTCTATTCTTGGCTGCATGGACCCAGACCTCCCATCTCGGAATTTCTGGGATGATCTGGCCCTAGCACACAAAATTCCCCAACGCCCCCTCCAGGTTACCAGGACACGAGACCTGCACCCACAGTTCCCGAGACCCACTCTGGCACCCCGCATCCCCTAAATCCCCACCGGGTCCTGGGACTTAACTTCTGCGTACAGATGCTGTCCCCCGCCCCACCCCACCCCACCCCACCCAATCCCTGGACCGCATCCCAACAGCTCAAACCTCCAAGACTTGACCCAGCCCTTCAGCTCACTTTCAGCCTTTGGGATGCTCCAGATCCTTCCCACACTTGGGCATTTCTTGGACACCCCCAAATCCTCAGGCCTTCCCCCCCCCCCCCACCCCTAGGTAATCCCCAAATCTCTAACATCTGACATCCACCTCAGGTTCTCTTGATACTAGAATTTCCAAGATAGGCTCAACCTGTCTGCAATTCCAGGGAACCAGACCTCCCCCACCCCCAACCTTGGGCATCCCCTTTCGTATGCCTCGCCCTGCCTCTTCCAAGAGCCCCTTTCCTTAAATGGTGCCCAAAAGGGACCCTCTTCATGGACATCAGTGTTTCCCAGAGAGTTGTATTTGTACCCCTGGTGATGTGCTAAGGTTTTAGGCAGTGTAAGGACGCTTAATCTAAAAAGTTTTGTCTTTCCTGGCATGTTGCTCACAAGCCGGTAAGTCCAGATACTGCTGCTTGGCCCAGACACTGTTTACTCAAGGTAGAGTGTTTCCACTTAAAGCAGAGGCTGTGCCCGCGCGAAGGGACCCTGGAATAGCAGAAGCTCGGGAAACCACGACATACCTTACCTGGGCTGGGATCCCAGCCCACCCTTCCCCGGCCTTCCGCGTCCTGCCACGCTAGCGGGTGGAAAATCATTTCTCATACCCCATCCTGGCTCGAGGATGCGCTACCTCCCCCAAGCCCAGAGACCACACCGGTCCCAGAATCCTTAGAGGGGACCCCTCCCCTTTTGGAGCTGGAGGCCCACGGAACTAGCAACCTCCTTCCCTCTGCTCCCACGGCCTCAGGAACCCCCCCCCACACACACACACCCATCCGAGGGTTGGGGGGTGTCACTGAGCGCGATTCTTGATGCAACGATTCCTATGCAAGGGGCATTTTGAGTCCCCCATCCTTCCCTCGGACCCTAAACCCTGGCGAATCAGGGGTGAGGGGTGGGGCAGGTTCTGGTGGGAGCGGGGTGGGGCGAGGCAAAGGGCTAGGGGCTCCAGACACCAGGGTATGGGGGTGGGGACTGATTATATTGCCAAAGGGTTTAACTTCTTTAAAAAAAACAAAAACGAAAAAAAAAAAAAAACAAAAAAACAAACAAACAAACAAACAAAAAAAACAGACCCCAGACTCCCCTGACCCTCACGGAAGCCGAACGGTGCGGGGAAAGGGGGTGAGGATCTTTTCCAAAGGGTACAGCCCTCTTCCCAACGTCTCCCCCCTGCTCGCCAGTCTGCCACACGTACCCAGCTTTTTAGTTCAGCTTTTAAAAATAATCACAATCATAAACCTTTATAAAACGTGATTCACGTCCTTCACCCCAACCCCCATCCCCCAAGTCAAACAAACAGTGTGGGATTTGGGGAGGAAGAGAGAGCCAAAGGGACAACTTCTAAGTCCCGCTCCCCTTTTCTCCCCGGCCGCCAGGGTGCCTGCAACTACACGCATGCGCTGCATGACGCGCTCCCCACACGCATGTCGCGCCCCTCCAGCGCTCCGGGAACGCACGGACACGGGGCGAGGGGCGGGGCGATTGGGGAGGAACGAACGGCGGGGGTCTTCCTGAGTTCAGCGGCTCCTCCTCCCCATCACACACACACAGCAATAAGAGTCTCTCACTCCAACGTGGGCGGGGCGGGCCTGGCCTGTCGAAACGGGAGGTGGGAGGAGTGGCCAGGGGGCGCTCTCAGGGATGGGGGCGGGTGTCCGGAGTCAGTGTGGGGAGGGGAGGTCTGCAAATCGTCCAACTCTGGTGCTAATGGCGGGTCTTCTCAGCCCACCCCCAGGGCAGGGAGGGAGGGGTCGGCGTGGCCCCTCCCCCAAGTCTCCCCCACGCCCACCCTGGGTGCATGAACCGCCCAATGCAGAAGCTGCCGCATGTCACCTGCCCTCCCCAAAGAAAAAGTGTCATGCCCCCTTCCCGCCCGCCCTCTCACTTCCCACCGAAATAAAAGTTTCCTTTTCATTTAAAAGTTGCATCCTGTTTCCTGGGAAGGTTTCCAGATCTGGGCCAGGGTGGGGGCCTCAAGAGCAGGGGGTCATATGAAAGTAACAAGGGTGTGCACTTTGGGGGGGCCGGCTATCCCCTTGATCACCGGCTCTCACCTTGTGACTTGGGGGCGGGGGTGGGGTGGGGGGTAGTGCCTGCCTTTTCCCTGACGGTAAAATAGGATCCACATCCCTAACTGGAAACTGTGAACGGCACCTGGTTTTAGATGAGCTCCTAGGTGAGGGTAGCAAGACCCTAGGAGAGGAGTGGAGCTGGGTCTCCAATAAGAGGTTAGGGGCTGAGGGCCACATGCCCCATATTGCCTACTCTGAAGCCAGACTGTGGGTTCAAGTTCTCAGTAGCTGTGTGTTCCTGGGCAGTCTCTCAACCTCTCTGGGCTGTTTCCACCACCCTAAAAGGGCAGGAGGGGGTGATCTGTTCATTCAGCAAATACACGAATCTCAACCACATGCCAGGCACTGTTCTAGGCGCCGGAAAACAAAGGAATCATTCCTACCTCTAGGGGTTGTGCTCTAGGTGGAGGCGAGCTCCCCTGTTTAGCACAGCTACGCAAATGACCGCTACTCCACAGATGGCTCCACGGTCACTCTGTCACTGCTTTGCAAAGACTTGAGGGTCAGCCAGAGCGCAGCATCCCTTCTGCCAGCTACTCACTGGGAGGCTTGAAGCAAGGCACGTCACGGCTCAGCCTCCGTTTCCCCATCTGTATAATGGAGGCAATACGCGGGAAGGAGGCCGAAACGAGGTACTTCACATGAAACGCCGGTACACAGGAGGCTCCCAACACTGTCAGCTGTGAGAACCAGCTGACAGCCCCACCTGCTGGTTCTGGACAGCTGTCCCAGCGGCTGAAGAAGCCTGTGACTCCCCCGCCCCATCAGAGATCCCCCGGAAGGAACACACACAGCGCCAAGGGGGTCCAGTTGGGGTGGGAGTTTATTTCTGCCAGAGCCCGGAGGCTGGGAGGATATGGGGCCTCCTCCAGCCCCCACAGGAAACTCCAAACCTAATTGTGATCACACAAGAGCAACCAGAAGGGGGGGGGGGGGGAACACCAGGGGGGGGGGGGGGGGTGGAGGGGGGGGGGTTCCCTTCTCCCGCCCCTCTGCAAGGGTCAAAGGTTGGTGGAGACCTGGGGCTCCGGCTGCTGTCGCTCAGAAGTTCCGGGGTCAGTGGAGAGTGGAGAGGAGGAGGGGAAGAGGGGGGAGAGAGGGGGAGGGGAATGGGAGCCCTGGCTTCCGAGGACAGGGGAGCCATGCTCCCTTGCTTATAAAGATCATTAACAACTTAAGGAGGGAGGGGAGCCCTATGGGGCCACAGCTTGCTAACTGCTCCCGGATTTCCTTCCAAGCGAAAGCCCTCCTCCACGTTGCCCTGCTCCCCTGCTCCCCTGTGTTTAGGGGTCCATGGGTCTCAGCCCCTGCCCCCTCACATGGGGTTGGTAAGTGCTATAGTGCCAAAGGCTGGCGCCATTTTCAAAGTGCAAGAAGCCAGAGGTTGGGTTCCCGGGACAGGCGCCCCGAGGGACCAGGGGCCAGGGAGGGAGGGGCCAAAGCTGGGGGCAGGGCGGGGTCACTGGGGCTGGGGCGCCGCCGGGGGCTCGTCAGGCTCCGGGGGTGGCGGCCCGGACCCGGCCTCCTCCTCCTCCATCTCCTCCTCCAATGGCACGCCCTCCTCCAGTCGGAAGACCTGGCGCACCTTGCGGGTGGTGAGGGTGAGGGGGCCGCGTCTGCAGGGGGGGGGGGGCGAGAGACCGAGAGATGGCGGTTAATTGAGGGGAGCAGGGGAAAAGTGAGCTGGAGCTACGGGAGAAAGAATACAATGGGGGGGGGAGGGGCAGAGAGAGAGATGGGGGCGGGGTTTATGGAGTGACGGTGCGCAGGTGCAGGTGACCCTACCGGAGCCGGTTCCTCAGCGCGTTCAACTCGCGGTTCATGGCCTCCGAGGACTCTGTGACATCTTCCAGCTCGTGCTGCAGCCGCCGGCGGACCGCCTGCGCCCGGGACGCCTCCTCCTCGGCTTCCTCCAGCTGTCGCTTTAGCTGTTTCACCCGAAGGTTGCCCTTCTCCACCTTGGTGGAAGCAGAGGTCCAGGTCAAGTCCGGGGGCGGGGGGTGTCGGCCTCACCCACTCCCTCGGCTCTGGGCCGCATCCCTCCTGCCCCACCCCACCCCCGACTCTGCCCTGCGCTTGCCTTCTGTTCATGCTTCGTTTTGTTCTAGATCCTCTTGCCAGCCTCTACCCCAACTTCAAATGTGAGACTGTCCCCCCGTGTGGTCTCAGAGGGGTCTTTGTATGTCCAGAGCTGACCCTGTCCCTCCCCTGCTCAAAGCCCCCCTCCCCCCGCCCCCATGGCTCCCCAGTGGTGCTGGGACAAGGTCCCAGGCCCTCAGTCTGGCATTCCAGGCCATGCAGGGTCTTCTTCTTATAAACCCATTGGTCAGATCATCTTCACTAAGACCCTCCCTAAACCCTGTCCAGGGGGAAGCCACATATGATCTGCCTCTCACCAATCCCTCTGGCCTCATTTCTTCTTCTTTTTTAAATGTTTATTTGTTTTTGAAAGAGAGGGCACGCAGGGAAGGGGCAGAGAGAGAGAGGGAGAGAGAGAGGATCTGAAGTTGGCTCCATCCTGACAGCAGAGAGCCCGATTTGGGGCTCAAACTCAGGAACAGTAAGATCATGACCTGAGCTGAAGTTGGACGCTTAACTGAACCACCCAGGTGCCCCGGCCTCATTTCTTATCACTCAGTCTTCCTGCTCCATTCTTCTCTCTAGCCACACTGCTCTGCTCTTCACTCTAAACTCACCAAACTTATTTCCACACCCCAGGGCCCTTGTACCTGCTGTTCCCTCTGCCTGACTCTTCCTGTCCTCTCAGTTCTCAATTCATATGTCACCTCCTTAGAAGGGATTTCCTGCCCCACCCCACCACCCCCAATCTAGGGAATATTCCCTAAACCTCATGTCTCCTCTCTTCATTCACTTTTTTCTTCATAGCCCTTGTCACATCTGTAATTATCTTTCCTTGATTATAGGTTTGTGTCTTTATTTTCCTATGCTACAAATGTGAGCTCTGTGAGGGCAGGGACCTTCTCCTTCTCTTTCACAGCCATATCTCCCATGCCAAGCACAGTAGTGGATACCCGATAATTGTGGAATGAATGGCAAA